TTTTACACTTAACAACCAAAACTCAATCCATTTAAAATTAATTTAGTTTAGTTTTTAATCAAACAAATTCAAACTGCAATCAAACTCTGCCCATCAATGACGATTTCGCTAATTTTTAGATTGTTACGGATTTTTGGCCCACCCCTCTCTTTTCCCTTAATTTTTCCTATATTCTTTCCTCATGTTTGAAATATTGGCTAGACTACACAATTCAGACAAAGTAAACGCAGTTAAAGGTTTAATTTAAAAGTGCAGGCACGTAGCTATAGTTGTTGAGTTTTTAGTTTATTCAAAATATTCTTAAAACATATAAAATATATTTAATATAATTAATATTTATCTTGATTAATATTCTATTATTTTAAAAATAATAAAAAAATATAAAAATTAAAATACTAAAATACTAAAAAACGTTATCAAACAAAACCGAAGTCATTTTCTTCTAGCCTCGGTGGGCATTTCTGGAATTCCAAATTCAACTCCATCCCAACAAGCACGCACCACTGGTCCACTACGCGTGTTCTCCATCTAACGGTCACAAGTCCATCCAATTGACAAACCCTTTTACTATAAATACAACCACCCAAATTTTGAGGGGTGATTTAATAATTAAAATTTTTAAATTTTAAATTTGAATATTAATTTAAGTGAAAAGAGATTATGTAAAGATAGGTTGACCTCGGACGTATTATTCCATTTTTTTAATGATTGAGGTAAAGGTTAAATTCAATTTTTCTCAGTCAAACAATTACGTGATAGTTACAATGAACATGACCACACTTGATTTCTCAATCTTGAGATTATCGCCTTAAAAAACATCTCAAACTCCGTTTATCTCATTAAGCAACTAATGTGGACACCTCATTAAAGCCTATAAATATCCTTAGGGGCCACCTCAAAAAAGTAATTGAAATCGACTTAAAATATTTTTTTTCATAATTCTATAAGGTGGACTCGATTATTGCTAACTTAAGTATCGAAGTGTTTATCCTAAAAAACCACATCGAAACTTTGCATGTTAACTTGAAGAGAAGACATGTACTGAAAAAGAACTTTTGATTTCGTGCGACTCATAATAAGAAAATTTTAAATTTAAAGATTAATTCAAGTGGGTTTTAGTTTTTTTAATATTCTCAAAACATATAAATTATATTTAACATAATTAATATTTAACTTGATTAATATTTTATTTCTTTTTAAAATAATAAGCAAATATAAAAACTAAAATTAAAATACTAAAAAACGTTATCAAACAAAACTGAAGTCATTTTCTTCTAGTCTTGGTGGGCATTTCTGGAATTCCAAATTCAATTCCATCCCAACAAGCACGCGCCACTACGCGTGTTCTCCATCTAACGGTAACAAGTCCGTCCAATTGGCAAACCCTTTTTCTATAAATACATTCACTCATTATTAGATGTACAAAAAAGGGGAAAAATACAACCCCTGAAACCAAACATTGCTCAACAATCTCACCTCAATTTGGTTGAAAAACCAAGCAAAAAACCAACAGAGTATAATACAAAACAGGGGCGATCCTGGGAATCAAGAACACAAGACAGGACAATGGCGCGAAGATTGAATATGTTATTTCTCGCGACAATAGCCTTGGCGGCTTTCTTACAGAACTCGGCTGCTCAGAGCACTTATAACGTCGGAGATGCTTTAGGGTGGACAGTCCCTTCAAACGGTGCCGTGTTTTACAGTACATGGGCAGGAAATAAAACTTTCAGAGTCGGTGACACTCTCGGTAAGAAATAAAGTCTTCTTTCTAGAATTTTTTTTTTTTAGATGTTTAAGTATTGCAGAGATTTGAGCACCTGCCTTTTATTTCAGAATGAAATATTTTTTAAATTATGTTTTTGATTGATTTCAAATTCAGTTATGGTTTTTGGATGAATTAAATCGATTTGGGTTGTTTTTGAATTTGGCCGCAGTTTTTAATTTTGCCAGCGGAAGTCACAACGTCGCCGGAGTGTTAAAGGCAGATTTTGATGCCTGCAACACTGCAAATACCCAGTTTGTGAACAGGACTGGACCCGCAAATATTGTCCTGAATTCCACTGGCGAACGTTATTACATCTGCACTTTCTCTGGCCACTGCAGCGCCGGTCAGAAATTGGCGATCAACGTCAGCCCTGCGACTCCATCTCCTGCCCCTACTCCTACTCCTACTCCTACTCCCCCTGAACATTATTCATTTTTATGCAGTGTGTTTATTTTAGATTCAGAGTTCTCCGAATGAAATTAATAAAGCTGTCTCTGGCACCATTACAGCCTCCTTACTACAAACAAACGTTTCAAGATGATTATTGCTGAATTTGGTGTTTGTTTGTTGAAGAAAGATAAAAGGTAAAGACATTATGGACTAAAATTTGAAATCAATAAAATTGCATGAATTATATTATTTAAAATATTAAAAAATAAAAATAATATTATTTAATGATTTATTTATGTTTTATTATTGATCCTAAATTTTTGTTTTGAATGTAATAATTTGTTAATTTAAGTGGAAGGAATTTAATTTTCCTTAAATCTCGATTATGAGCAAGAAACAAGTATTAGAAGTATTTTCTTTTTATAAGATTTTACTCAATTTGATTTTAAATTAATTAAAATTTAATATAATTTTTAAATATTAAAAGTTAATAAAAAAAAAAACTACTATTATTTGTTAGTGTGTTTACGTTGTGGGGTGCTTAGCTGGTAATTATAGGTTTTTTTTTTCATTTTATAGAAAATATTAATTAAAATAAATAAAAATATATTAAAAATTAATTTGAAATAATTAAGTTTTATAAATCATAAACTAAGCCCTCTGTTTATGGCATTTTCCTTGTCGAACAGTACCCTAATTAATTGTTGACGGTTGTATCAAAAAAAATTTAAGGATTTTTTTAACTTGTGTGTATAAGTTAAAAGTATTTTTTATTATAAATATATATAAAAAATATATAAATTGATATTCATTTTAATATTACATAAATTTAATTAAAAAATTAAAAAATTAAAAATTAATTTTTATTTTTTAATATAAATTTATTAAAAAATAGATTTAATATATATCTTTAAGCAAATCCAAAATTTAATTGTTGACAGTGATGCATAAGAAAGTTGCAAATTTTGGATGTTGATTCGAAAATGATATGATTGTACTGCAGTGTTCCATTATAAGATAATAATTATAATGTGTTATATTATCAATTATATAATTTAGTAATAGAATTATATGTGTTATTAATTATAAGTTTATAGTTTAATTTTTATTTTTTATGTATTATATAAATTATCATAAATTATTATATAATTTTTTTAAAGATTTATATGCAATATTTTATATACTTATTTATTTAATGATATATTATTATCATAATATTAAACTACCAATTTGATTTCTCAATTTTTATATTTACATTAGTTTTATCTTTAAAATAAAAAAATATCAAATTTATTCTTGAATTTTAATTTTTAATACTAATTATTTTTGAAAGTGATATAAGTAGCATTTTTTTATTTTAATTATATAATGAAAGGTAACTTTTATCTATATATAATGTAATTTAAATTTAAAATTTTTTATTTTTAAAAAATTATTATTAAATTATTTAAATCATTAACATATACATAATATGTTAGATCAATAAATAATCAATCTTTTCTTAAATAAAATTAATAACATGTAAAAGAAAATATGTTTTTTTAATGATTTGACGTCTTTTATTCATGTAAGTCTTCACACATCCCAAACCACACAAAAAAAAAAAAAAAAGAGGAAAAATTCAACTTTAGTTTATGATATCTCCAAATGCCACCAAACCCCAGCTTCTCCATTTTCTTGGGTTTTTTTTTTTTTAACAAGTTGCGAAGGAGTGAGTTTGAAGCCCGCTTATTAAAGAGGAAGAATACACCTCAAACTGACAGATTGCTAATTGGCCCAAAAGATCAGGTGCCATTTTCTTGGGTTTTGATGTTTGCATTTGTTGCGGATTTTATGTAGAGGATGCTGCAGAGGTTCTTCATGTTTGCCTAATGCCATTCCAACTCCTCTTGGCGTAGGAAACTTAATAATCATATACTGTGTTGAGACAATAGCTTGTACGAGAAATTCTACAATACAACAAGGATACCAACTGATGTGGTATCCCCATCCAATAGGAGGGTGACAGATAATTAAATTAATACACCTCATACAACAGCTGAATCTCAGTTAACGAAAAAGTTTCCGTTAGATACTCAAAGCTTCTCTCTCCTCGCCGTCTACAGTTTACTCTTTCATCTCCTCAGCTCCTCAGTTTTCTATCTTCCCCAAATCTCCCCACTCCTCTGCATAATTTCTCATCTATGATATCAAATAGAAAAAGGAAATAATTTTTAATTTGTTTCTATTCATCAATTGTGCCATTTTGAATCAAGTCTCAAATTAGTAAACTCAAATCCAAACGGATCTGCTGATCAAAAAAAAAAAAAAAAATCCAAACGGATCTTTTGCCGTTTGCCCCTCTTCTTCCTTGGTGGTTCTCTTTCTTCATTCTTCCTGATAGTTCGAAGACAAGAAAATAAAATTTCTCACTAACAGAAACTTTATTGATGGTCCAAAAAAGAAAAAGACAAAAGCTTTATTGAAGTTTTAGATCAGGTAAGGAGAAGGAAATCTGAGATACTAATATGGTTGGAATGGAAGAAGGTGCATGAAACCCAAAAAAAAGAAACCCTAGAAAAAGGTAAGAAGATTTTGGGATTTCCACCTTGAAACCCTTGAAAAAAAAATGAAGATTTAGAAGATCTGGAATTTCCAAGGAGTTAGTATTGAGCATTGCCCAAAAAATAAAGTTAGCATAAATGATTTCCACTGCTTGATGACCCCCAACCATCAGTACCAATTTAATTACCCAAGTTTTATGCATCTTCTTCTTACCTAGAATGAAGATTTAGAGAGAAATTGATGGAGTGGGTAGATGGATTTACAAAGTAATTTGATGAATTAGGCTTTGGAAAAAAGAGATTAAGGTGGCCTGCAAGTATCTCCATGGAGATGGAACACAGAATGGAGAAGGATGAAGGCAAGCAAACGGTAGAAAATGGAGGAAGGCACGTTACGTTGAGTTTTTTATGGCCCACAACATGATTATGTGTCAAGCCATAATTGGTTCGGGATACATCCCACGTGGTATAACTGTGACATTGTAGACTTTCTCAGCTTGTAGAGCATTGAGTCCAGGTCGTCCCAGGATAGCATTGAAATAACAAAGCACATTAATTACACAAAAATCCTAAGTTATGACTATCGAATTAGGAGTAGAACCAACATGAATGGGAAGAGATATAATACCTATAATTGGAATAGTTTTATCGGAAAGTCCAACCAGCAGAATATCCCAAGTCCTCGATGGTTATGGAGATATTTCCGACTTTTGAAGTGCTTCAGGTGTGATCACATCTCTTTAACTTCCTGTATCAACTTTTTTTTTTTTTTATCAGCCAAATAAAATTTTTTATTTATATAGAGTACAAGGGGTACTCTAATCCATATTTATAATACTCTCATCATCGTTATCAAAATTCCACTCACCTTTTACAAAATAAAAAATAAAATTAAGTTTCATATAGAGCTGGAAACTGGCACCAATTACTGTAATTGAACATAGCAGATTTAGATTTCCCCTTTATCCAATCAAAGGTTTTTGTTAACACTAACTCAAAGATAGTATTTTCATTCCAAGTAAGGTTGTTAAACGCTATACCATTACAAAAATACCAAATGGCCCATGTTGTTGTAACAACAGAAAGCACCCAACAACTTTGAGATATTATGCCAGGCTTAAGTGAACAAAGTTGCAAAAGGAGGAGGGAGGTGTTACCAACGGGAGAAAAAGGAGTTCCCCACTAGCAGCATAATCGAGTCCAGATGTTTTGGGAAAATCAGCACAATGCAAAGATGTGGTTAATATCTTCCACACTATCACCACAAAAAACACATTTTGGGTTGGAAGAAAGGTCAATACCACGATTGAGGAGGTTGTCTTTAGTGGGTAGTCTATTCAAGAAGAGGCGCCATGCAAAAACACTAATTTTTGATGGCATAAACTGATTCCAAATCATCTTGCAACATTTCTCATCAAGGCACGGAGGGAAATCATCAAGAAATTTGTAAGCTTGCTTGGAGGAACAAGCTGTTGAGTAGTGCTTCCAAATGAACTTGTCAAGTCTTCCATCTGATAAATTAAGATTTCGGAGAGAATCTTCAAGCCTCTCAAGCTCATCTAATTCTCTACCAAAGGGAGGTCTACGCCACTGAAAAGCCCACCCATTTGCATTACCTAGCTTCAATTCGGCAACCAAAGCATCCTTGCTTAATGTAAGGCAAAAAAGGCAAGGGTAAGAAAACATCAATGGAGAGCTACCCATCCAAGCATCCTTCCAAAATCTAGTGTTTGAGCCATCACCAAGCTTACGGATAAAACCATCATCAAAACACCCAAAAGCTCTATCACAATCCCTGCCAATAGATAAGATATCTTTCCAAAAAGGAGAGAGGCTCGGAGAGGTAGTGTTAAAAATAGAAGTAGAAGAAACTCCATCATAATATTTTCTAACAATAATTTTTTTCCATAATTTCTCATTTCCTTCGGCATCATAAAAATTATTCCACCATTTTCCTAGTAAAGCAGAATTCCTAATAGAAAGGTTTGGGATGCCACGCCCTCCCTTTGATTTCGCAAGGCAAACTCTCCCCCAATTAACCCAAGCAATCTTATTTCGCAAGGCAAACTTCCTGTATCAACTAACACTTGCTTTAGGATTCTTCCTTTATGGAGGTTCCTATCTTCTAAAATTATGTGAATCATTGTTGACGACCACTTAAGATTTCAAAACAATGAAAAATTAAGTGGAACATATAAAAGAAAAGTGAGTCGTTACTCATCCAAATTATAAGGTGGGATAAATCACTTAAAATGGGTCTACGTAGAGATCGGGGTTTGAGGGTTTAGTTATGAGTGAGGAAGGGTATACACACACCTCACAATTCTCCGTTCACGGTTGCATACTTTAAAATTGAGGTTTTAATTCAACTTATTTATTATATTTATGTTTGAGTCTTAATAAGCAAACTTGAGAAAGAGATAAACCGAATTGAAACATTTTTTTTTTATTATTTTTGGATTGAAATAGACAAAATTAAGAACATACATCCACAATAAACATAAATAAAAATTAAAGAGACTAGTTTGCTAAATTTCAAAATAGGAAGGATTGATTTGAAAAGAGTTGAGACCCATGGACTAAATTGCTTAATCATGAAAGTTTTGTGCCAAATTGAACTAAAAAGAGATAACTTTTGATTTTAGAAAAAAAGATTCAAAAAATAGAGAATTGAAATTAATTAATTAAGATAATTAACTTAATTAAATGATTGATTTAACATTAATTGAAATTAATTAAAATTAATTAATTACACTTATCAACCTCCTCTAATTAAGATAATTAAATAAATTTAATTACCTCAAATTAAGGTCAATAAATATAATTAATTCACTTTAATTAAAATTAATTAATTTTGTTAATCACTCATTTAAACTAATTATCCTAACCAATTAATCATTTTATTTATTTATTTTTTTACCTTTTTTTTTTAGTTTTTTAGTTTTTTTTTTTATACCGGATTAAATCGGATCTACTTACCCAAAAACATGACCCGAGTGCAAAAAAATAGACACAAAGCAGATTAAACATGCAAACAGAACAAGAAAACTAGGGTTCATCTAATTCCAAACACATTTCTACAGAATATGCATTCAAATCCAGATTCCACAAATATTCATAGCATCATAGCAAATCCATCGTACATTTCTCAACGATTATGCATAGATTTTCAACATCAATCACCAGAACAATACATCATAGAGGAATAACAAATCTAAAACCGAGATTTCAGGAGAAAAATGGATCTAGATCTGAACAGAGGAACCCCACCCACGGGATCAAGCTCTACTCCACCCCTCTCGAAGTCCCTCAGTTCCGGAAAATTACCTAGGAACGGGGAAATTCCTGCTATAACTGGAGTACTCCTCTTTTCTTTCTCTGCCGTCAACACCAAACTCAGACAAAAGGGAAAAAAAAAAGAAAACCCCAAAACCAAGAAAAACAAAAGAAATGCCCCTCCCTCTTTCGGACTTCTGTCTTCTGCTTCTCTCCTTTTTTTTTTTCTTACACAATGACAAGAAGAAAATGGAACCCAGAAAAGAAACAGAACCCAGAAGCGAAAAACCGAAAGAAAACTTAAAAAAAAAAAAAAGAAAAAACCAAATATGAAAATCAACCCCCACAAAGACCTCCCAAAATCAAACTCCAAAAATCAACCAAGGACCCTCCAAAATCAAACTCCAAACTCAACCAAAAGACCTCCCCCCTTCCTGTACTCTGCTTTTGCTCTATATATAGACCCAACTGATAAAATAAAAATAAAAATGGAAAAAAAGGCCCTGCTCTGTCAATCACCAATGATGCCAATTTTGTCTGGCATTGCTATTTTTTCTGTATGGTTGTAGTGTGCAGAAGGCAGGGGCATGGGATTGGGGCGTAGAGTGTAGGAGGCGCAGGCTCGATGCAGCAGTACAGGGGCGTAGGTGGCAAGGGCTGGTTCGGTGCAGCAGCAGGGGGTGTAGGGGGCGTGCAAGGGCATGATTGCCGGTGTGTAGGGGGTATGATTGCCGGTGATCTAGGCACAGAGTGTAGGCGATCTGGGCCCAGAACAGGGAGCAGGGGCACAGGTTGGGCGCGGGCAGAGGCACAGAGTGCAGGATCAGGCGCACAGAGGCCAGGGGTGCAGAGGGGAAAGTGCAGAGCAAGGCCGGGCGCAAGAGCAGGGAGCAGGGGCGCAGGCGCAGCGTGCAGGGCTGGTGCAGCAAGCGGGCTCAAGCGGATGCAAAGGCGCAGGTGCAAGGCTTGGG